CGTGGTGGTGGTGAAAAGCTCCGTGTGCAGGTTGTGCAGGTGGGGCACGAGCTCCAGCCAGAAGGCCACCTTGTTGGCGCGGTAGTTGTCGCGCACGCGCGGCTTCAAGCCAATGTGCAGGTACTGCTTCTCCTTGCTGTTGAACTTGCTCCACACCACCTCCTCAAAGCGGTTGGGCTTGGTGTGGATGAACTTGGTGTCTTGCGGCACCGGCTGGTTGGGGTCGCTGTGGGCACAGGAGGGCAGGAAAGGAGGAGTGAGGGCGAGGCTCCCACAAGGAAGCAACAGAGAGAGACTGACAGAGATGCAGAGAGCCAGGAAGACAAAATCAGAGAAAAAGAGAGAGGCAGAGATGGATCCCAACAGACAGAGAAACTGCCAGAGACGGGGACAGAGACCAATAAGGGATGGAGCCAGACTGCCAGGCACAGAGAGATGAGGACAGAGCCACAGAGAGGGCAAAAACAGACAGACTGCCAGTGAGAGAGGCAGAATCTGAGACTGAATGAGATACAGACATATGGAAACAGAGAGACAAAGGCATATGAGAGAGCCGGGGAAAACCAGCGAGCAAAGAGTAACCAGATCAAAGAGAGCAGAGGTATCAATGGATTTCACGAGAGAGAGGTAGAGACAGCACTAAAAAGACAGACAGACACAAACCTTTACACATACTCAGAGACACAGACGGGAGCAAAGGGCTGAGCTCTGGGAGGAGAGAGAGATGGGTGGGTGAAGGATGGAAGGAGAGACAGACACGGAGCCAAAGCCACCAAGTGACACCCCTCTCCCCGAAAGGACAGGGACTTCTCTGTCTTAACTCTTCTGAATCTCCAACGTGCACAGAGGAACTTTCCAGCAGGTGCCTGAGTCAAGAAGGCAAGAGTGCCTTGATGGAGGAATGATGGCCATGTGAAGGAGAGGGAGAGAAGGGGCTGCAGATGGAGGGTGTATGTGTCCCGGCCCGCAGGGGTGCCCCACCCAGCCCCAGCCCCTCTGGCCCTCACCCAGTCTTGGCAAAGTTGGTCCAGTAGGTCATGACCACGGCGCTGAGCATGACGTCATTCTTGGAGAAGTTGCAGGGGAAAAGGTCGGTGGCACCCACCATAGGCACACCAAAGACGTAGGGTAGCTCGTCCCCATGCGCTGCGTCTGCCCACTCAGGCCGGCCCTCAGCCTGGCAGTGGTGGTAGAAGGTGTAAAAGTAGACAGGGGACTGGTAGTCGGCGTGCAGCTTGGCGGTGGCCACAGCTGGTGCCACCCACTGGTGGTCGGTAAAGAGCGCCAGCAGGGTCTTACGCCGCATCTCGCCATTGTCCCGGTCGGCCCAGTCCGTGTACATAAACTTGATGGTTTCCCGAAGCACATCCTTGCCCTCCGGGTAGCCGTACAAGTTGTCCACAAAGTTGGAGACTGTGAAGTCAAAGGCGCTGGCGGACACGCCGTCCTCGCTCTCTGCCGAGTCCTCCACAAACTTGAGGCCCTCTCCTTGGTTGACACCGATGAGCATGTCATAGTTGAGGAATTCTCCCTGCTGCATGAGGATCTCAGGGTCATCGGGGACGACATCACCGTCCACCACGGGCCCAAAGGCGATGTGGTAGCTGGGGAGAAGGGGTCAAGGTCTCATCATCTGCTCACTGGCCCCCTCTCAGCTCACAGCCTGCTGGGCCCTCTGCTCGGAAGACCCCTCCCCCCTAGATAAAGCCTCCTGAGTCCTTCAGGGGGCTTGGCCTCTCAGGAAATCTTCCCTGAAGCACTTCATGACACCTTGGGCACACTGGATTTGTTTAGGCACCCTGCTTAGAGAAGGCTTCTAGGAAAAGGCAGGGCCACTGAAGGGGCCCAAAGCGCACCTCTCCTTGCCAAATAGAATGCCCGTGGCCTGCAGGCACCTCTCACCATCAACCTCCTTGGAACCAGGAGAGTGGAGACCTGGACTGGGCCCTCTCCCACCCCCATACCGGGCGGGTTGCACATCCTGGTCCACCAGCTCCCGAGAAGGCTTCCGGCGCAGACACTCCACAGCCTCGGCGCTGTCCTCCCGGTCACAGCCCACCTTGGCCGCCAGCAGCCGCGTGTACTTGAGCGGCTGGTAGTTGACGGACCAGCTAGAAATGGCAGTGCCACTCTGAGCAATGGCCTTCTGGAACAGCCCTGGTGAGACAAGCAGGCTTTAGGCTGGGCTGTATCAACCCAAGGGAAGAGAAGGGGGACCTGGTGGGGTCAGGGGTGTGGGAAAGGGGACAGGAGGGGCAGGCTGAGGAGGTGACTGGTACCTTCCGAATGGTGGGAGAGGATCAGAAGGTTGACACAGGAGGCCCCTGCCCCGGATCCAAAGATGGTGATGCGCTCGGGGTCACCCCCAAAGTGGACGATGTTCTCACTGAGCCAGCGCAGGGCCTGGATCTGGTCCAGGAGCCCATAGTTGCCTTTTGCAGCCTGGTCCCCGGTACTGAGAAAACCTGGGGGTAGAGGAAGAAAAGGGGCTCCCTGGGGGTGTCACAGCGCCCTTGCCCTCTTTCTGGGCATCTGGATCCAGCCCAGAAGCCATTCTAATTCTGCTGGGTTTAGAGGAACCCCACCCATCAGGTCCCCACTTCCCAGACTCCGGCCCCTCGAATTGGCTGCCCACCCTCACCGAGCACCCCAAGCCGGTAGTTGAGCGTGGCTACAATGACATTGCCGTAGGCGGCCAGGACCGAGCCATCGAACATGTTCCCAGTGCCTTCCATGTAGGAGCCGCCATGCAGAAACAGCATCACTGGCTTCTTCCCGGAGTCCCGGATATCTGCGTGGGGTGGGGAGGGGGAGGGGACAACGACACAGTTAGACCAGAAGCAGCACCACCCAGCTCCCAGGCCTGCTGAGGTCCAGCCTGGAGCTCACGGGACATGTCACTCCCGACCCTGGGGGGCAAGACCGGATTCCCCTCCCTCCCTCCGCAGTTAGCCCTGGCAGAAGGTCCCTCCCCATCTCCTGCCGGTCTGCCCCACAGCATTTCTCTAAATGCTGGGCAGACCTTCCAAGAAGCCTAACAGAGGCAGGGGTGGGGGGTGGCCCTCCTCAGGGCATCTGCTGGATCCAGGGCACCCCCTCCCCACACACACACAGCAAATCTCCTTCCTGCTCCTAGGAAGAGCGAGCTCCCAAGGCTGGCACTAGAGCTAGAGATGCTGGGAGTGTCCCGGCGTTTCCTCAGACTCAGGCCTTGGGCCTCAGCTCCACATGGTAGCCTGGTCTGTGGGTGAGGGGGTGCCAGGCCCTAGGGTCCCTGGGGGCTTGGTCTCCTCCCCGCCCTAATTCCTTTCTAGGTCACCTCCCCAGTTACCATGGCAACCCCCAGCCTAATTACTGTGGCAGGAGGAGGCAGGGTAGGAAAGAGCCTGCTTAATGAAGCCGGGGTGCAGCTCTCTAATCTTGGACCCCCCAAAACTGGCCTGGGCCCTGGGCTCCGGACCCTTCTCTTGCCATGTCCTGAAAGGGCCCCATGACCATTGCCATGTATAGGAGGCCCCTGAGGCACTCCAGACCGGACCTGGGGGTAACTAACTCCAGAAGAGGCTGGGAGTCTGAGAGGGCTTGGCTGAGTCCCCGGCCCAGCAGCTCCTCCATGATTTGGTCAGAGTGCCAGGGCTGGGGTCACCCCTGGCCTACAGGCCCTCCTCTCTCTTGACACCCGCAATCTCTGACTAGCCTGGGCACTAGGCAAACAGAAGCCAGGCCTGGGCCTCCACTGCAGGTCCCCAGTGCCTTTGCCCGCCACCCTCATCCTACTAGGAGCTTCCCTCCTGCCAGAAGGTCAACCAACAAGTCACTAAGACATCCCCCCGCATACAGCTTCCTCCCTTCGGTCTGTTAGGACCTCCTTTGCCGCCTCCTTCCACCTGACTTTGCCCAGGAGCTCCTAGGTGGGCATTGCCCTCTCGATCCTCCCCAACTCCTGTTCTTCCCTTTGTTCCTGAACTTCCAGTGGTCTTCCAGCAGTTCAGGCTGGAGTCTCCTTCCCTCTGAGGTCCTGTCCTAAATGTCCTCAATACTCCACCCACCTCCCCACCCAGCACCTCCACTCCCAGCGTTGGGGGAGGGGGAGTTGGAAAGGGAAGGAGCAGGAAGGGGGGCTGGGGCAACAAGAATTCAAAACCAACAACAAAAAACAAGATCAAGAAAGAAGAAAGAAAGAAAAAACAACAACCAAAAAGCAAGAAGCTCTCGGGGCAGATTCAACAAGAAAAGAAAAAAAAAAAAGATCCGTTTTTGGAAAAAAAAGAAAAAAAAAAGTTCTTTGCATTTTTTTCAAAATTTTGTGGTGAAACTTCAAGATATTGGGCCCTGTTTTCAAAAATTTCCAAATTCTTTAATTTGCTTCAAATGTGCGTTTTCTGCATCTGACAGGCTTTTGGAAATTGTAGCAGGTTTCTGATGTTTTCAACTGTGTCATCAATTTGCCAATTAACTTTTTTTTTTCAAATGTTGTTTGGCTCCAAATTAAAATTGTTTTTTTCAAATATTACATTTCCCAAGTTTCAAAACAGTCCAAATTTCTGTCCAGTTCTAAACATTTTATCCAATTCTTTGGTGTTTTGTTTTTGTTTCTGTTTTTCTGACATTCCAATTTCTTTTTTCACTTTACTTTCGCCATGTTTAGCTTTGCTTGCCAGCTTTCTAGTGGGTCCAACATTGTTCAAATTTCTTTTGAAGTTTTCATAATTCTTTTTTCCAATTATTACAAATTTTTCTTTTCTTTTCTTTTTCGTTTTTAGTTGGGAAAACGACTGAGGGGCCTTGAGGGCTGTGGGGGCATTTAGTTAGGGGCAGGGCCATGAACGTCCTCTTATCAGCAACCACATGCAGCAGCGGGATTTTTAAATCTACCTGTGTCTGGCGGATTGAGCGTCGCCTCGTCACGTTTTTTTGTGAGCGGACCTAAGACCGGGAACACAAAACAGAGAAAAAAGGACAATTTTGTGGGGAAAGATGGGGGTCGGGGGAGGTGGTGGATGGGGAGGGGAGGAGAGAAAGCAGAAAAGGGGAGGGTGAGGGGCAGAAAAAATAAGCCAAAAAAAGCAAAATTTGTTTGCAAGAAAAAGAAACCAAGAAAAGAGAAAAACGTTTCTACAACCCAATTTTGTTCCCCTCCCCTGAAAAAGTCATGCCCCAAAGAAAAGGCTGGTTTTGGGGGGGTGGGGTGCCTGAGCGGGCTGAGGCCTGTCTTAAGACATATTGACTTGGCTGGAAAGGATTTGGCTTGTCGAAGTGTTTGCTAATTGCTGGAAATGAAACGGTGTTAGAGGTGGGGTGGGAGGGGAGGGGAAGCCCACCCGAAGCGGGAGCCAAAGGCCAGCTGTGCCACCCCGGGGCCACCACTCACGCGGACCCTCTTCAGGGTCAGCCAAGCACCTGCCTGCTCCCCTAGGCTGCAGAGAGTAGGATGGGGTTGGGGGCAGCAGATCCCAGCAGTTCATAAACCCTGGAAGCCCTCAGCTCCCCTCTGGAGGGGTGTGGGGAGGTCAGCTAGGGCTGCCTGCCCACCTCCCCAGCCTCTCACCAGCCAGCATTTCTCTTCCACCCGCACTCACAAGCCTGACTTCTCTCCCCATGTCCCCAATGTGGGGCAAAGCAGGGAAGGGGTCATCAGGTCTTGCCCTCCACTCCACCTTTTCCCTCTGCAACCCCCCAACCTCATCCCTTACCCAAGCCTGCTCTCCTCCCCCCAGCAATGGTAAACTTCCCACCAGGGGCATTAGCCTCCCACCAACCCCTGGTCTAATGCCAAAAAGCCTCCCTCCCCAATTGAAGGTTCAGCCCACAAATAGGGACTAGGAAACAGTGCCCTGAGCCAGCTCAACACATAAGGTGTCAGGAGGTGCTGGGAGGCACAAAGTGTGCCCACTGTCAAGGAAAGGCCCCAGACTGGGCTCAGAGTTCGGCTCCAGGCTTCTTTCAGATGGGGGGGATTGGTCAAGGGAGAGCTGGAACCCAGAGGCGTGAGGTGTTCCCCCAGGCTGATGGATTTCTGCTCAAGGGCAAGGGGACCAGCATGGGGAGGGAGAGAGGGTCAGCAAGGCCAAGGCCAGACTCTTGAAGGCATCTCCCAGTTGGTGATGATGGCCCCATGGGGACCCATTAGGATAAGAGCCTGTTCTTCTCTGATGCTCTGATGGGATGGGGATGGGGAGGAAGTCAGTAGGGCATGTGTGCGCTGGAGAGTATTAAGCGAGCGGGTGTGTGCACGCGCGCACTTCTGAGTCAACCTCTTCCTCCCAGAACCTAGCCGGTGTGAAGATTCAGTGAGATCACCTGAATGTGTCAGGCCCCAAGCAGGTCTGCAATAAGTGGTGGTTAAAAATATAGAAGGTGTGGGCATGGGTGGGATGGGGGCAGGGTGGCCAATTTGTGCGGAGGTGTTGGGGTGGACAGTCCACTGGTGGGAAATGCCAGGTGGATGTTTTGCATGAGGCATGATGAGACAAGAGCCCCCTGAAGGGGGCATGGTTGGGCGGTGAGGGGATAGCCTTCTACACAAAGGTGTGGGTGGAGAGTCCACGAGTGGAGAGTGTCGAGATGGATGGTCTGTTGGAAGCCCTGGGGTGAATGATTCACAGGTAGGAGGGCAATGGGGGAGGTGGCCCGCGAGAGGGCGGGGGAATGTGGAGTGGATGGTTCTTATGCAGAGGGCAGTGGGGTATTGGGGAGAATCCGTGGAGTGTATTGGGGTAAATGTTCTATTAGTGTGCTTGGAATCTGAACAGGATTGGACTAGACACTTCCGTGCATTGTGTGTATAGGTTGCTAGGAGGCATGGCTTACACGAGGGAGGTGGAGTTAACCCTATTAGGGTACATGAGTTAGGTGTTCTGTGACTGGCGTGTTCTCTGGGCACAGGGAGCAAAGTGTTGGAGTACTTGATCTGTGAGCAGGGTGTAGGATTGCCACGTGTGTTGTCACAGCCTGAGGTAGGAGACTGATGATCTGTAGGCAGGAGTTGGGGGAAGCAATGTTTGCGATGTGTTGAGACCGTTGGGGACAGTGGTGTGAGTGGCCTGCTGGGGCACAGGGTCCAGGTGCAGGGTTACTGGGGAAAAGGTCTACATATGGAGGATACTGGGGGTTACCCAGGGATACCGGGCAGCACGGGACTATGTGGGTGACAGGGTATGAAATTCCAGAGAATTGCTGGGGAGTGTGCTATGTGAAGGCTGGGAATTTTGATATGTGACATGCTAGAGCCTAAGGTCAGTGTGCCGGTTGGTTTGGTATGTGACCTGAGTGTTGAGTACTTGAGCTTCCTGGTTTGCATTAGGACTTGAGTACACGATGTGGGAGTGTTGGGTGTCTAGGGTGTCCCCAGGGGGGTTCTTGGGTACCAAGCCTATGTATAAAGTCGTTGGAAAATGTTCTGTGGTGGATGTTAGGGTGGATGGTCTCTGGAGGTGTCGGGGTGTTTAGGAGTCACAACATGCGGTGTTAGAAGGATAACATGGGGGCTGTGTGCATGGAAGCTGTTGGGGTGGCTGGAGGCCTGCTGATTACCCTCTGTTGTGGACTGCTGGAAGGTACTCTGGAATGTGCTGGAAAGTGCTGGAATGACACTGATTAATCTTGGTGCTGAAGGCTGTCCAGGGGAGTGTGCTGGAGACTATGAGCTGTGCTGTGGTGAACTGGACAGTTCACTGAAACAGCTGGCTCAGAGCCCCAGGGAAGGTGTTCTGTAGGGGATGGGTGGGCTGTGCTGGGAACGGAGGGGCCCTTGGCAAGGAGCTTCCCTGATCCTTTGGGAGTGTATGGGAATCAGGAGACAGAGCATCCTGGGGAAGAGACATTCAGCTCAGGTGAGGGGCTCTGCATGTGACAGATGGACGTCTGCCCATGCTGGCCTGGGGAAAAGGAGGAGTCTTTGCTGTCCTTGAGGTATAGGTGCAGCTAAAATGGGTACTGCTGGGGCAAGCCCAGGCCTGGGGGCAGGAGATGGGGCAGAGCCAGAGTGGCTGTCTAGGCAGCTGATGATTGCCGCCACCACTGGATCACACTCAGTGTCCCCTCTGTGTGTGCCTCTGTGGGGAGGGGGTGAGTGGGCCAAGCCTAGTGCCTGCCTCCTTCGCCAACGGCTCTCTGTGGGCACAAAGAGATCCGGGGTGGATGTGGGATTCATTCCTGGGACTGCCTGGCAGGGACCCATTCCACCCGGGGAGGGCACGCAGAGCATGAAGGGACACATTGCCCCTCACGACCCCCACGAATGCCCAGCTCCCGGCCCCAGGCTCTGACGGCGTCTGAGGGTCTGCGTGCGCGTCTGTGGGCTGAGTCCACCGGGGGCCCGGCCCGGTGCCCGCGCCCTTACCGTCCTCGGTGGGCACGTAGAGGTTGAGGTACAGGCAGTCCTCGCTCTGGTTCTGCACGTAGGTGGCGGCCGCCTCCAGGTTGTCGGTGAACCACACGGGCAGCATGATGGC